TTACGGATGTCAACATAGGGATTTGGTGAGTCAAAGAGCCGTACACATTCGGGATCAAGATTATGAAATGCCTTTGCTGATTCCCTTGGAAGAGTAAAACAGCAAGGTCCTATTGAAGGTCCAAGTACAACAACAATGTCTTCCAAACTGCAGCCATATTCTGATAGCATAGCATTCACTGTAGCCATTGCAACACCTAACAAAGTACCTTTCCAACCTGGTAAACAGGAAGAAAAAGAGATAAGGAAAGTTAAAACACAACAAAATTTCACCTTGATTTCTAAGTAAATTAAAAGTGAGTAATTATTGTATATTTCAAAGACCAGAAACAGTAAATCACAAAATTAATTAGACTAAGTAAAAAAATGATTTTTAAATGAAGTATACTATGCCAAGCACCTAATATGGAAGACATTTAATGGAAGGTCCCTTTTACTTCCTTTGAAAAATGTTCCATACTATTAGTTTCTACTGGGGTTGTACCTTCCTAAGTCTTTTCTAGCTCCCTCACCTTGTTTTTTATTACATTTTTAAAAAATTGGGAGGGGGCGGAGCAACATGGCGGCGAGGAGACGCTGCGAGTAAGATCTTCCATTAAAAAAAGTGAATAGGGAGGAAAAGCGGCAGGTCCCAGTGAGAAGTGGGACACGGAAGATAAACGGGTGACGCCAGCGAACTGCCCGAAGAAGAAAGTGGCCATAAAAGAGGACTAGAAGGGAGGGAAGCGCAGAACCCTGCTCCCCTCCCCCGCCCACAGAGGCGGCACTCTCCGACCGGCAGAGAGGAGGAAACAACAAACCAAAACGGCCCACAAGAACAAACGACGCAGCAAGCGGGACTGTGAGTGGAAAGGAACTATTGCAGCCACCACACCCCGTGAACGGGAGCTGAGGCGAACCCTGCAGGATCCGCCGCGGCGGTGAGCGAACGGCTCCGGGCGCCATTAGAGAAGAACAAAGACCCCGGGAGACGCGCACACAGCCCGGGCTGCCGGTAAGCTGGCGCGGAAACGCGGCGCGCTCGGCGCGCTTGAAAAGCAAGTGCAGACCTGGATCGCGGCTGCCCAGGTCCCCGCGCCTGCGACCTAGGCTTGCAGGGAGACGACCTAGGCTTGCGGGGAGACGCACGGAGGTCCTCACTGAGGTGAAGGTCCCTCCCTGAGTGAGCAGGAACCAGGCGCCCAGGCACGGGAGCTGCGCAAAAGGCGCCATTCCCGCGCCACTGAACTGGGCTACAGCCCGCGTCCTGGAACTGAGGGCTTTGAACTGAGACCCGGGGCACGAAAATTCGGGGCGTGGTTTCTCCACGACGGTGGGGCACAAGGCAGACACAGCACCCCAAAGCTGTTGAGGTGTACCCTACCATTCCCGCTCTGTTCTCTGTCCCACGGGGTGGGGGAGGCGAAAAACAGCCCCCCAAGGACAATAGGAGAGATCTCTGGCGCCACCTAGCGACCAGGAAAAAAAAAAGTCACTAACACCCTATAAAACAGGACATTTCTTAAGACTGCTTGAAAAGGGCAGAAGGTTTCTGGAGGACCCAGTGGCCAGCCGGGAAGTTATTCCACGCCAGGCCCCTTCCGACCAGCAGTCTGAGCCCACAGAGGGAGCAGGCACCCACGTCCGGGGCAGACCGGGTGCGCAGAAGAGTGTGCCTGAAACCCGAGGCGCAGGGACTGCATCCCGCTTCGCCATTTGAGAACAGGGACATTTCTTCAGTAAAAACTGCCTAAAACCAGCAGAAAGCTCCCCAGAAGACAGAGATGGCTCCTGGAAGAGCCAGAGGGAGCGGAGAAGTTCACCCAAGATGTCAGTCAGTCCGAGCAACACAGTGTCCCAACGCATACGACAAATTAGAAAACAGACAGTAGGGAGTAGAAGAACCACACGCAACCTAAAAACTCCTCAGGAAAGAAGCACACCACAAAAAGAAAACCACTCCCCAGATTGCAACGACAGCAACTTGGAAGAACTTCTGAGCCTTCCAGAAAGAGAATTTAAAATTGCCATGATTAAAAAAGTGATAGATCAGAAGAAGGAAATTGAGTCCCTAAAGAGGGAAGTAAGAGAAATGCAGGAGATCAAAGAATTAATGGAGGAACTAAAGAACTCTGGAAAAGCAATGAAAGCAGAATAGATGAAATGGAAGAACGAATAAGTAATCTTGAAGACACAGAAATAAAAAGAACCAAAACAGAAAAGGAAAGAGAAGTACGAAGGAAAAAGAATGAAGAAAGACTTCGGGAACTATCTGACTCCATGAGGAAAGGAAATATAAGAGTTATAGGAATTCCAGAAGGAGAGGAGAGAGATGTAGGAACAGAGAAAATATTCATGGATATAATTGAAGAGAACTTCCAAATGAGAAGAAGGAGCTGAAAATTGATATACAAGAAGCAAGAAGAACACCAAACTTCCACGACGAAAGGAAAAACACAGCAAGACACATAATAGTAAAGCTCCCAAGAATCCAGGACAAGGAAAAAATAATGAAGCTGACAAGAGGGAAGAAACAGATAACATTCAAAGGAAAACCAATCAGGCTGACATCAGACTTCTCTGAAGAAACACTACGGGCAAGGAGAGAGTGGAGGGACATAGTCAACAGACTCCAAGAAAACAGATGCCAACCAAGAATACTCTATCCCGCAAAGCTCTCTTTCCTCCATGAAGAAAGAATATGGACCTTCCCAGACAAAGAGAAACTCCGGAATTTCATTGCGACAAACCCCACTCCAAAAAATACTACAAGGAATCCTAAAGCCAGAACCTCAGAGGGACGAATAACAACGAAAGAAGACCAAAAAAAAAAAAAAAGTTATTAAAAGAATAAATAAATAAAATCAAAGGAAAGACAAACATAATGGCAAATACAGATGCTAACATATCAATATTAACTCTAAATGTAAATGGACTAAACTCTTCAATAAAAAAGACACAGAGAGTGCAGCCTGGATTAAGAGAACAAAACCCAACCTTTTGCTGTCTCCAGGAAACACATTTAGCTACAAAAGATAAAAATAGGCTCAAAGTCAAGGATGGAAAACAATCCTACAAGCAAAATGGGCCAAAAAAGAAAGCAGGAACAGCTATAACTTATATCAGATAAAACAGACTTCAAACTCAAAAAAATAAAAAGAGACCCCAATGGTCACTACATTATGATTAAGGGGACAATACTTCAAGAAGAAATAACACTCATTAACATATACTCACCAAACGAAAGAGCACCAAAATATATCAGACAACTGTTGTCCTCTCTGAAAACAGACATCAGAGAAAACACATATGTAGTGGGAGACTTCAACACACCACTATCAACAATGGATAGATCAACAAGACAAAAAATAAGTAAAGAAACTAAAGCTCTAAAATAAGGACTAGAGCATTTGGGCTTAAACAGACATCTATAGAACACTAAACCCAAAAAAAACAGAGTACACATTTTTCTCAGCGCACACGGATCATTCTCCAGGATCGATCACATACTGGGGCACAAGACAAACATCAACAGATACACCAAGATTGAAATCATACCAACCATCTTTTCTGACCACGAAGGCATCAAACTAGAAATAAATCATAAAAAGAAGCAAGGAACTTCCTACCTTCATGGAGACTAAAAGCCACACTACTGGAAGACCACTGGACTAACGAGGAGATCAAAGAAGAAATTAAAAAATTCTTTGAATTGAATGACAAGGAGGACACCAATATCCTAAAATGTATGGGATGCAGCAAAAGCAGTAATAAGAGGAAAATATATAGCAATAGAAGCTCACATCAAGAAACAAGAAGAAACAAAGAAACAAACCTAGATCTCGAAGCCATAAGATCTAGAAAAAGAACAACAAAAAACACCCAGAACCAGTAGAAAAAAAAAATAATAAAACCAAAGCAGAAATAAATGAAATTGAAACTAAAAAACAACAAAAGATCAAAATGAATGAAACCAAGAGCTGGTTCTTTGAAAAAATAAATAAAATAGACAAACCCTAGCCAGGCTCACAAAGGAAAAAAGGGAGAAAGCACAAATAACAGGATATCATAAATGAAAGAGGAGAAATCACAACGGACACAGCAGAAATCAAAAATAATCAGTAATACTAATGAACAGTTATTATGGGAAACAAGTTCAACAATCTAGAGGAGATGGACAATTCCTACAACTCTACAATCACCCAAAGCTAGATAAAGAAGAAATAGAACACCTAAACAGACCAATTACAAGCAGTGAAATTGAAATGGTAATTAAAAACCTCCCCAAAAACAAAAGCCCAGGACCTGATGGATTTACAAATGAATTCTACCAAACATTCAGAGACGAATTAGTTGCCTATCCTTCACAAACTCTTCCAAAAAATTGAGAAGGAAGGGACAATACCAAACACGTTCTATGAAGCCAATATACACTAATACCAAAACCGAATAAGGACAAACACAAAAAGGAAAACTATAGGCCAATCTCCCTAATGAACACTGATGCAAAAATCCTCAATAAAATTTTAGCTATCAGAATCCAACAATGTATCCATAAGATAATTCACCACGACCAAGTTGGATTCATTCCAGGGGCACAAGGATGGTTTAACATCCGAAAATCAATCAACGTTATCCACACATCAACAAAAAGAAATATAAAACCATATGATAATATCAATAGATGCTGAGAAAGCTTTCGACAAAGTGCAACACCCATTCATGATAAAAGCCCTTGAAATTCTTGGGATACAAGGAACATACCTCAACATCATAAAGGCCATCTATGACAAGCCAACAGCCAGTATCATTCTCATGGCGAAAAGCTGAAAGCAATTCCATTAAGATCTGAACCAAGACAAGGATGTCCACTCTCACCACTGCTTTTTCAATATAATACTGGAAGTCCTAGCCAGAGCAATAAGACAAGAGAAAGACATCCAAGGATCCAAATAGGAAAAGAAGAGAAGTCAAACTATCACTATTTGCAGACGAATATGATAATATACATAGAGAACCCCAAAAATCTCCACAAAAAAACTAATTCAACTCATCAATCAATTCAGTAAAGTGGCAGGATACAAAAAATCAACACGCAAAAGTCAGTAGCCTTCCCTATAACACAAACAATAAATCTGAAGAAGAAGAAATCAAAAAAACCACCCCTTTTATTATCGAAACAAAAAAAATCAAATATTTGGGAAATCTAACAAAAGAGAGGTAAAGGACCTATACAAAAAAAAACTATATAAAACACTGTAATAAGAAATAGAAGAAGACACAAAAATGGAAAGACATCCCTGCTCATGGATTGGAAGAATAAACATTATAAAATGGCATCCTACAAAAGCAATATATAGATTCAATGCTATTCCAATCAAAATCTCAATGGCATTCTTCAAAGAAATAAATACAATTATTTGATGAAATTCATATGGAATCACCAAAAACCCGAATAGCCAAAGCTCTACTGAAAAAAAAGAAGGAAATGGAGGCATCACACTCCCAGACTTCAAACACTCTACTACAAGCCATAATCATCAAACTGCATGGTATTGGAACAAGAACAGACATACAGACCAATGGAATCGAATAGAATCCAGAATAATAACCCACAGATTTATGGTCAACTAATCTTTGACAAAGGAGCAAAGACTAAGCATTGGAGGAGCAAAGAAAGTTTGTTCAATAAATGGTGCTGGGAAAACTGGGTCGCACATGCAAAAGATATGAAGCTTGACCACCTACCTCACACCATACACAAAAATCAACTCAAAATGGATTAAAGAACTAGACATAAGACCTGAAACCATAAAATACATAGAAGGAAATATAGGCTGAAACACTAATGGGATTTGCACATCAAAGAGACTCTTTAAAGACACATCACCCAAGCAGTGATAGTGAAGAGAAAGATAAACAGCTGGGACTACATACAAATTAAAGAGCTTCTGCACAGCAAAAGAGACAATAACAAAAACAAAGAGAACCCCACCAACTGGGAGAACATTTTTGCACCCAACACTAATGATAAAGGACTGATCACAAAAATCTGCAAAGAGCTGATGAGACTCAGCACAACAAAGAAAATAATCCAGTCAAAAAAATGGGCAGAAGAGCTAAAAAGAAACTTCTCTGAGAGGAAATGCAAATGGCCAACAGACATATGAAAAAATGTTCAACATCCCTTGTAATCAGGAAATGCAAATCAAAACTACCATGAGATACCATCTCACACCAGTG